CGGACAGATCTGGGTAGGGACAAAAACAGATTGCTTTTGTCTAGACTTTATCATACCCAGCTTTCTTAATTGCCAATGAAGTTAAAGGAACTCCTGTGTGATTAGTGTCATGAACAACCTAAAAACACTTTCGGAAGCCATCAAGATTTAAGGATCATTTCCCTCCTTGGGAGTGGCTCCAGGGCTGTTTGCATTTCTGGGGATACTGCCCAATTCCTGCTGAGTTCTGAGGTCAGTTATGCTTAAAGATGCACATGAAAATAGAAATATACTCCTTGGTGAGGTCCAAGAAAACCAAATTAAGTCACTGATTAATTTCATCCTGTCCAGTCGCTCCTTCACCCTCTGTAGCTACTTAAAAAAAATAAATGTATTCAGCTTGTCACAAATTTTATTTTATATCTCCACCTAGTAGCATTTCACATTCTGCTTAAGTACTTGGTCATCTATTACATGACTCATTAGTTTGAGTTCTCTGTAGAATTAAAGAACGTTGCAGTAAAAATAATAAATGGAGCCTAAGTTTCAACTACATCAGCCATGCATGTTTTAAAAGCATCTTGCAAAGTCAGTTCAAACTCGTATACAATGCCAGGGATTAGCACACCATCAACTTCTTTGCTAAACTTTTTTCCTTGCCCCATTACATTGAAGTACTGATGAGTAAAATGGCAAATGTTTCTCTTTACTGGGATTCAAATCAAAGTGTGTAAAACTGGATCAGATAAAGACTTCTTCCCAGGAGAAGTACCCAGGGGCTATCTTATATAAAACTCTATTCAGGGGTACTTCCATTTTTCCTTTAAACACACTTTTTAGCTACCAGTTGCAGTCAGTTTAATGAAGTTAAGGTTTCCTGACTCCATCTCTTAAGAAAAAGTTGAAGTCGCTAACTGCAGAATCTTCCAAAGAGATGTGACAATGTTTCCTGGAGATTTATTTGAACAATTCCATTTACAGATTATGCAAATGCTATGGAGTGCACTATGGGTATACTATCGGGTCAGAAAAATCAGAGGAATAGTTTTAATAGGAAAAGGAAACTGGACTGAAAGTCATTCATCTTCCAAATAAAAATATTTTGTTTTCACTGAATACATGTCATTAGATTGAAAAGCATTTTCCACTATTTCCTACCCTCCTAGAGAAGCCAACAGAGATCATGGATTTTAGCTGAAGGGAAGGCTACCTCGCCCCCCACCCCACCTCATGGGTTTTGGAGTCAGGTAGACCTGGTTTGAATTCCAGTGTTATCTGTAAACTGTCTGACCCTAGATAAATTTCTTAAGGTACCTGAGCCTCTATCTCCTCATCTTTACAATGGGGATAATACTATTTACCTTGTGAATTGTGAAGATTAGAGATACCCTGTGTAAAATATCGAACACAGTGTACAGCACACAGTAGACACTAAGTAAGTTAGAGCTATGGTTATTTTAATATATTAGAGCTGGGAGGGAGATCATCCGAAGCCCTTCAGTTTACAACTGAGCAATCTCAGGACCCAGTGTATATATGACTAGTCCAATGTAACAAAACTAGTCAATGGCATCATTAAGTCTATTTCAGCGTTCAGGGAGGTACGGTGACTTTCCAAGAAACAGTGGCATTACATGGATGGAACACGAAAGCCTAGGCTCCCTAACCCAATATTCATCACAATTTGCCGCCATTTCTCAAAAAAAAAAATCCCATGGCTTCTGACCTTTTTTTTTTTTTTTTCTGACCTTTTGCTGACTGGTTTTAATCCCATTTGATAATTTATTCCAATGTTAGGACAAATGATCTCAAAAGCAAATTTTATTTCATCCTATTTTTAGAATAGATTCAGAAAATAAATTAGCTGTCTTGCAGATTAACATTTATTTGACTTACCTTGCATAATTAAGGACATGCTGGAGAGCCTGCCTGTAATTGCAATATGTTGCTTGTTAAAGTCTTAGAGCGAGCTCTCTTTCCTAACCTAGAAATGATACTCCCTAGATGTACATTTCCATTTCTACTGATCTACAGCTTTTCTTTATTAGCTTCTAGGTGGAGAGAAAAATCAAACCTCTCCTTCAAGAAATCCATTAAACATTTGCTGTCTTCTAAGGGGGAGGGATGAAGGAGTTGATGTTCATGGTAGCTGTAAAGCCAAAAAACAAACAAACTGGGCTTTCTTGAGAGAGAAAGAACCTGCAGGAGAACCTCAAAGACATAATTAGCAATTAGCAATACTCTCCTCTCAATATGCCCACCGTGTCCTGATGACTTCCTGCATATTTCCTTCCTCTACGGAAGTCTACGAAATTGCCCTGCAGCATTCCATATAATGAGAACCTCACTTCTGATTCACTGCCAAGGGTAAGTGCTGTCTAGATTCAGCGTGGAGATAGGTGCCCTAGCTAGGCACCTCAGTGTTCTGACCAGCATTCTGAGTGATTTCGAAGATCACTAACAGGGTCCTCAAACACTGTGAATATGGTTGGAGGAGGTGTGATGGACACTTAGTGTGAGTCACACATTCCCTCCCTTTAAACATCCTCATTCACTCACTGGATCAGAGCAGATGTTGCCAACAGCAGCTTTAGTACATTATGTGAAAGCTGTCCTGGATGGATTAGACATTCAGCTGTCTGAAGACTGGGCCAGCTGTTCTTAGGGCCCCTTACTGCTTTGGGATGAATACTGTACCAGATTACTGTAAAAGCCACGCTCAGATAGAAGGTTGCGTAAGTCAAGCCAAAGGAAAATGCGCTACTAGCTATGACAAGAAGAAAAGCTTAGTTTAATGTTAACTTTAATAGATATATAAATTTTGACACTCTCATTACTGACGTTTCCAGAGTTCATGTAAATCCTGCTCATCAGGACTCTATTATTGCTGCTTTCCAAGCCAAAAAAAAAAAAAAAAAGCAGAGCTGCAGTGAACCAATTATTTGCTTTATTTGGAAAAGCTGACATTCATCCTCTGTGTGGCAGGTTGAATGTAGTAGGTGAGATGAGTGGTTTTCACACCAGCAGCAACTCAGGAGGGTGTCAATTTCAGGCACAATACAAGCTTGAGTCCTCCCTATTTCTCATGCAGAAATCCTTATAATACCTGTCAGCGTTTTAAACCTGTGTAAAAGGTGGGACCCAGCCTGACGTATTTCCTTGAAAGATGAGCTGATTATATGTTGCACCTGAGTTATGCATTCACTCATCAAATATTTATTGCGGACCTACTATGTGTAAGGATGGAGCACAGGTACAAGAGGAAAAAAGAAACATTCCCAAACACTTTACCATGATACTTATGGGTGGGGACGCTTATGTTCCCTTAGGGAAAAACGGTCATCCCCTTTAAGTGCCATTGAAATTCCTCTTAGGAATACTTGGGTATGGATAAGAGTTACCTAATTGGTCAATTACGCAAGAAGCATGTGTAGTGGATCTCACACTGTGCAAGATATTGCTGAGGAGGTGGGGAAGAGTCAAAAGAAATATTAGATGTAGTTTCTCATCTCAAGCAGCTCACTTTGGTAATAAAAAACACTCCATTCATGAAAGGACTGGAAAGTAAAAGAAGGCAAAATATAATCAGGTGCTAATTGGGTAGTGGAGACACTCTTAAAGAAATTCAGATTTAATGGGCTGGGTTAGCCAGAGGGGCTTTATGAAAGACACATGCCTTGAGTATGGCGTTGAAGAAAGGGACGGCTTTAAACTCCGACTGTAGTTGAAATTTAATCCCCATACGGCAAATGTCAAATAGCTAAAGAGTAACCTCTTAATATTTGAAATAGTAAGTTGACCATCTAATAAATTAAACACATTGACCTCACTATATTTTTCAGCATGGAAAGGTGTTCATAATACATTATGTATGAAAAGCAGATTACAGAACAGCATTCTATAATATGATTCCATTATTAGAGAATAAAATATATGATATGCATAGAAAAAAGTCTAGAAGGATATACACTAAAATGTTAACAGTGGTTTTCTAGATGTGGTAGGATTATGCGTGACCTCAATTAAAAACATTTTTTGTGTTCTCTCTTTTCTAATTTTTCTGCAACAATTGTGTATTATTTGTGTAATAGTCAAAAAGAAAAAACACATTGGGTTCTTAAAACCCACTACAATGAATACTTCATAAAACCTGCTGAAATAAAAGCACACATACACACATCTTGGAGAAGGAACAGAGAAGAATGATTAAATAATTAAGGAGATAGGGTGGATGATATATGACGACAGATTTAAAAGTTGACTATCCTTCAGCTTAGTGGCCTAAGATGGGAATATGATCCAAGTCTATAAAATCATGAAGCTGACTGGGAGAACACGTTTATTTACAAATCCCAGGCAACAGAATTGAGGGTTGGCCCTTTAAGGTTGAGAAGCTGAGTTTAGAAAAAAATAACAGTAAGGCTGAGCTCTCACAGAAGGCCAAAAAAAAAGGAATTTGTTATACTAGGGGTGATATAAATTGAAAATATAAATAGCTTCAAGAATGATTTAGATAAATTAATGGAAGATAGGTTCATTAAAGGTTGGTTGTTAAGGAAAAGCCAGGAGTGTCTAAAGTCTGTGAGGTACTCAATATATTTGAAAGCGGTAGAAGGTGGCACAGACCTGATCCCCAAACCAGTGCAGGCCACAGTGCTAAAGCCTTCCTCCTGGAGGCTCTTTGCTGGCCAGGAGTTAACCCTTTCGTTGTTGGACTATTGGGAGTTTCCAGGAAGGAGATCATGGGGAGAGGCTGGGGTGTCCGGGAGGCAGAGGGTTCTGGGCTTTAACTATTTATCAACCAGAAAAGAAGCATTCCAATATTTTAATAACAGTTATGACTATACTAATGCATATTGGCTAAAAATTAGTCCTGGGTGTGCCTATCTTCCGAGATAGACTTCAGAGATGATGTCTGTCAGAGGTACATTGGGACGAATGGACTACAGTGTGACAACAATCTTAGGATTCTGCGAAGTCAAATGAAACCTTTAGATAACCAAAGGATTTTTTATTTTTACCTCGAGGGCTGTTCAGTGAAGCTTCCGATGCTCTCCCTCCATCTCCACAGTGACTCTGGTCAAAGGGAAGGCACTGATCTCCTGTTCCTGCCACCACTTCAAAATTCTTGGACAAGTCTTTTGTTTCCACAAGAGATCTCAACTTGTAGACTTTTCGGGTATTGGTGTCTGATAGATAAAGTGATTCAGACACAGGGTCCATAGCCAGATAGTATTTGTGAGCAGGACTTGTGCTAAGGAAGAGAAAAGTAAAGTTATTCAAAGCAATTTGTTCAGCATACACTCCCTGGGGTCTGCCTTTTGTCACAAATGGAAAATTCTCTTAAGAGATAAAAGAATTAATGTATCTTCCTTATGTACCGAGGCGATAGGTACCTCTTTGTTTTTCTAGTAATGGGTCTGGGATTAAAAAATAATTCAGTGCGTACTGCTAACCTGTAATGTTCCTGATATTCCAATACCGTCCATTTGGGGGTAGAGAAAGAAGCAGAAGATAGAAAATCCCAGGAGATCCTTTTTCTCATACATACCTTTCATACCCCCCTCAGTTCTCCAATTACCTACTAGATGACTGCCTGGATGTCTAAGTCACCTCAAACTCAACAAATCCAAAACAGAAGTTATTCTCTTCCTGCCTTCCCCATCCTTCAAAAACCTACTTCCTGTCTTCTGGGCTTCCTGCCTCACTTGCAGTCACTACTGTCCTCCCAGGGTCCCGTTGGAAATTGAAAGGCATGTACAAAAAGTGAGGAGTGTGTCTTAGGGAGGGCTGTGCTGGAGATACTCTTCCACTCCAAGCTTCCTTTTGTTAGCTGACCACCGTACTTCTCTAATACACTTTTTCTTTTTCAGGACATAATAGAAGTGATCGTATTTGACCTTGTTTTGGTTATAATTACAATCATCCATACCTCCAAAAGGTGACACTCAAGTTACCTTGATTGGATTTTGGTATTCCTGAAACTCCTCAGTTACATATTTTAAATAGGATCTTGTGTTATTTTTATCTGCATACATGGCTGAGCTCATTCATTAGTTTTGACTATTCCTAATATCATTTTCCCAATAGCTGCAGGAACTTTGGTTTGGGGGACATTTTGCTTGAACTTAAGGTTTATGTACTGCTGATATCATCCAAGCTCCCAACATGGAAGTCTAACCCTTACTCTCCCCTTTTCTCTCCACATTGTGCCTAATTGTGCCTGAAAACAAGCTTTCAGAAGCTTTGTCCCTCCTGCTATCACATTAGTTCTAACTCTTATCATTTGTGGCCTGGAATATTTTCTATAGTCCTGCCCACAGGAGGTGTTTTTGAAATCTTAAATCCATTTTTCCCCCATACTGACTCCAGGGTTATTCTGATCATTTGGTTCCCATCTTTAAAAACTGTACAAACTTTTAAATGTTCCTTAGTGTGGTGCACATTCCTTTCTTCACTTAGTAATTAATTCTCTTTAACCTTTTAAGGCTTTACTCAGGCATCATCTTCTGAAGAAAGCCTTCCGGAAATGTCTAGGCTCGGTTATTTGCACTATGCTTACCTCTATTCTCGGGGATCACACATCATATTACTTTTTAAAAAATGTATTGGTATGCCCCAGTAAACCATGAGAGCTTGGAGGAGAGTAATCTTGTCTTATCTCTAACGTGCTCACTGCACAGCACTCTGCCTCACACCCAATGGTCCAAGCCAGAAACCAGAAGCCGTTCTTTACTGCTCCTTCTTTCCGCCATTCCCCATATCCAGTAAAACATCATTAAAAAAAAATTCTACCTCCTAAACTCTTTTCCAATCTGCCCACTTCTCTTTATCTCCACCGTCATTAGTCCGGACATCTCTCAGCTGCACTCCTTGCTTGGTAATACCATTTCTGTACCGTGGATTTATTCATCAAGTCATTCAGAAGTACTTACTAAGTGCAAACAATGTGCCAAGGAACTGTGCTATGGTCTGGAGACCTACCTGTGTGCCCAATACAGCCCCTTGCTGCATGAAACTCACAGTCTAGTGGGGGAGTCAGATCAGTAAATAGGCTATGACTGTCATGAATCCAAGTGTTACAACAGAAGTAGAAAGGGAGAGAAATGAGCAGATAGGAGGGACACGTGACCTAGCAGCAGCTATCACATTGTATTAGCATTATTGTTTTAAATTATGAAGTCCATACTTTACTCATATTTCCTTAGTTTTTAATTAATATCCTTTTTCTGTTTCAGGATTCCACCTAGGATACCAAGTTATATTTAGTCTTCGTCTCCTTAGGCTCCCCTGGGCTGTGACAGTTTCTTAGACTTCCCTTGTTTTTGATGACCCTGATAGTTTTAAGGAGTACAGGTCAGACATTTTGTAGGATGCCCCCACGGCAACGTTGTCTCATTTTTCTTTTTTCTCATAGTTAGACAGCGATTACAGGTTTGGGGGAGGAAGACCACAAGGGTAAAGTGCCATTCTCATCAAATCAAATCAAGGGTAGTAATATCAACATGACTTACTGTTGATGTTGACCTCGATCGCCTGGCTGAGGTAGTGTTTGTCAAGTTTCTCCTCTGCAAATTTACTTTCTCTCTTACTTTCCACATTGTATTCTTTGGAAGGAAGTCATTCTGCCAAGGCAACACTTAAGGAGTAGGGAGTTATACTCCACCTCCTTGAGGGTCGAGTAGCTACATAAATTATTTGGAGTTCTTCTGCATGAGAACCTTATCTTTTCTCCTCCATTTATTTATGAACTCAACCATTTATTTATATCAGTATGGACTCATGGATATTTGCTTTATACTTTGCCTTAAACTCCAAAGTGACTTTATTTTGTTGCTCAAATTGTTCCAGCTTTAGCCATTGGGAGCTCTTTCTGTGGGCTTATGTGCCCCTCATAAACCCCCATCAATGTCGGTGCGTTTTGTTTTTTTTTGAGCACTTCCTTACTTTCTGGAAGTACAAGATGTTGCAGGCTCATCTTGTATAATCCCTGCTCCAGGACTGGAACGAATCATTTCTCCAAGGACCCCTGGCTCCTTTCATTGAAGAATGGTATTAGAAACTGAGATCTGAGTGCTGGGTGTAAGCACTATTTTTTCCACATCTCTCTCTCTCCAGATACACTGTGAACTCTTTGCAGGCACGAACCTTATTCCGCTCTCTACCTCAGTGCCAACAGAGGGTCTGACAGGGTTGATGTTCAGGAAGTGCTGAACTAAACTGTAGGACACGAAACTAACTAAGACATAGAGGAGTTCGGGCCTTGGCTACTTAGCCAAGCAAAATGGAGGGAAGAAGGTCATTAGAATAATTAAGATACTCTTAAGGACTGGCATGTTCCTGATTGTATTTGTAATTGCATTTGCCCTCTAAGCATATTTATATTAATGATAGTAAGGCTGGCAAATACTGATTTGAGACCCAGTTTATGGTTTTAATTGGAAAAAAATCAAATCCAATCGGAATGCTTGATTTTTTTCTACTTACCTTCATCAAATAAGAGAATCCGGTAGATTCCAGGGACATCTTCAACCCTGGAACCACCATGACAGCTGCTGTAAATAAACTGTAAAGGGTCCCAACAGATTCCAGAATTGATTTGGCAGTCATATCAGACAAAGCATCTCTGTAGCAAAGACTGCTTAAATAGGGGTTTGAGTAAAAGTTTTGACATATTTACTTGCACTTTTTGCCTTCAGAATAAAATTTTTCCAGTGCCCTTAAATCTTTCTAGAATACAGAAGGGGTCACAACCCTTCCCTGAAACAACCTTCAATACTTTGGTAGCCAGTCTGTGGAAGTTTCAACTGAGCCAGATCAATCATGTTTTGTTTAGGAGAAGTCCATAGGCTATTTTTCCAAGAGAAATGTTATTTGCACAAAAGCACTTTGGAATGCATTCCATTCATTTATTATTGAATATCCCCTATGTGCCTGTGAGGGAAGTTGGAATTATCATTCTTCTCAAACCTCAGCTGGGGAAACCCAGACACATAGAAGGCTCGCCCAAGGTCACCAACAAGCCTGTGCTTGGACTAATATTAGATTAGATCATATGTGACTGTGTATGCAAAATAAATACCTACAAGAATAGTCTTGTTCTGAAAGTGGCAAAAAAAAAAAAAAAATCAGCGTTACTGTCTTCTTCTAACTATGTTGCTCAGCGAGGCTGTTCTCAAACTTTGCACACTGGCCTTTAGAAAATAGAACAGCCCAACGCACCAAATTCAAACCTGATGGTTATTTTCTTGACAGCCAACAGTCAGGAAGGTCTCCTATATTGAGATGTAATTTCTTGCCATTTCATGCCATTTCCCAAGTGCACGTCAGCTCTTTTGAGAGTTTCTTTCTACTTTGTGGAAACATGCCAAACCTGAGAAAGAAAAACCACTGGACTACATTCCAATTTGTTCTAATCCCTTGTGTCTAAACACGTATTGCAATTTGAGATACGTGAAGATTTCTCTTACAACTTCAGTGTTAAACTTATTGTCACCTTCTGGTTCGTTTTATATTCAAGCAATGCCCTTCAACTTAGCAAAGATCCCTTCATTCATGCTAGTTAAAATCACACAGATTGTTAAATGGGCAATTAATGCTTATAATTAATACTGGGCAACATTTTACCAGAAAGCAATTTGATAACCAATTTAATTTGCTTAAGGAATCAGTTATGCCAAAGTAGCAAGGCTGATCTTGTGCACTGGTATTTAGGAAGTGGCATCTCCCAAACAAAATCCAAATTACAAACCCTACCAGCGCCATTTTGATGACAATTGGCATTTGAAAGTGAACAAATTCAATTTTCTCCTTTGCAATTTCAGGTAATTTAGAACAGTTTTGACAAGTGTAATGCATAAACAAATTGAATACAAATACTCATTATGACTAATTTCAGAGTTACGTGCCCTTGTCAGTAAATGGTCAGTTTAAAGTTTATTATTTTTTTGGTGGGATAAAATAGAAACCATGAGGTCACATAAGAGGAAAATGGAAAAATCTTATTCAAGAAGGTCATCGTGGGCACTCTCTCTTAATACACACGTCAACTACATTCCTGGAAGCAGGAAGATTGCTGTGCTACCTCTCTCTCTACCTGCAACTTGAAAACATCGAATCTATTTGAACTTACAGACTCACTTGTGATATCACCTAAGGAAAACATAAGCCTGAAAGTTTTGCTTTCCCATGAAGTACTGAACGGCCAGCTTTCACTTATCTTGTTTTCTTTTTGGTATATTTTGATCCTCCAGCAAATTCCCACTTAGTGGAGCTCTCTCCTTTTGGAAGACACTTACCTGAGTTATAACTTCCAAGTTCATGTTCACATTATGCCTTTAACCTTACTTAAGAAGTTTCCCTGTTAGCGCATTATTAGGAGGTGGCGTCTTAGGCAAGAAGGGGCATTAGGTAGCCACCCACGTGATTTGCTTACCTATGTCTGGTATCTCTGTTTCTAGGGTGCACAAGGTATCCACGAGTGGCAAGTAAAAGCAAACAGAGAGTCATCAGTGTCATTCAACAAGCCAAACCTAACCAGACACACCTATTCAATTCCTAACTCAGCTTGTGGCTATTAGAGGGACTCCACAGGGATCACTTAGATGTGCAAGCCAATCCCTCTAGATGTGGACCCAATCCCTCCAGGCTGCTCCTCCTAAAATGGTGTCAAGGTGACTGAATATCCTGCTTGGTGGGTGGGCAAAGCTCTAAGGCAGTTTTTTCAAAAAGTTCACTCGGGACCATTTTCATTGGAATCGGTTGGGTTCTTGCCACATATGCAGTTTCCTGGGGCTCTCCCCAGTCATATGAATCAGGATCTTGAAGTGGGAGTGGAATTCCCAGGAATTCCATCTTGAACAAACTCAGGTGGTGATTCTGATGCAGAATAAGGTTTAAGAACCACTAGGCTAGGTTTTGAAGACGCAGCCACTGCAAAGGGTCTGACTGTTCTAGGCTCTATTTTGTTTTTCTGTTTTTTTGAATTTTATTTTATTTATTTTTTAATACAGCAGGTTCTTATTAGTTATTTTGAAAGCCACTTTATCAAAATGCAAACTCTTTCATTATCAAGTCTTGCGTGCAACAGACATCCCAAACCCAACTTTAAGCCACTTATATGATTGCAGAGATAAGATAGGGACATGTCTTGTGAACATTAGCACATTATTTAGCAATATTAAACAATTTAACAAATTGAAAGTATAAAAGTTTTCTCTTCGACCATGATAGAATGTCCCTGGCATCAAAACTGCTGCCTCAAAATAGCTTCAATAAAACACCATTTACATCAAACTCCTAGGGCCTTGTGTTGTCCAGTTATCCATGCACCAAGGGGGCAACCGGGGTGGGCAAAACAGAACTATGTCAGAACGCTTTGGGGAGCCCCTGATCTGTAAGCCTCTTGGCACAGGGCACTGCCTAGGCTATTTCACTCTGGGACCTGGTATGGGTCTTCTCACCCCGGGAGCGCAGTCCGTGGACAGGCCTGACTTTGGGTCAAATCTACCCAGAATTAAAAGGCTATAATCATCTGTGAAATATAGTCATTTAAATTTTAAAATCCTTTTAAACCTGGCCCTTATGTCATTTTGAAAAATATGAAGATAACAAATCTTTTTTCTAAACTAGAAAATGTTCTCATTCTTTGGAACATCAGGAAAGAAGAAAAGATACAAAATGATTTCTTTTGAAGTCATCTGCAACTACTGATTCAAGTCTTTTTAAAGAGAATCTTTCTGGGATTTTACTAGTTGGGTTATGGTGAGGATCCACTGACTTTTCTGTTTCATGGGGCCACCTCAAAAGGGTGGGTATCCCCTGGGTTGACACAAAAGATCAAAAGGTAAGGGTGGGGAGATGTGACTAGAAATCTGGCCCCAGACATTTGAACCTCTTTGAGTTTTTTTGTCTTCAGACACTTGCTTGTTTTCATGGTCTCTAAATTACAGGCTGAGTGTGCTTGAGGCTGGCTCTAATCACCATTACAGGGTTGATCTTCCTGAAGGAAGCTGAGTTGTAAAAATACTAAAAGGATCTCATTAAAGCATGGTTTCGTCTACCACAGAGTCTCATGGTACAGAACCATTTGTGTGGCTACAAAGGGTTCTGAAATTCTTAGGTGATGGCAAGGTGTGGGGAGGTGGATGGTCTGAGTTTCTTGCAGCTTCTTCTGATCCTGCCAATAATGTCACTGTGAATTTGGAAAGATGTCCCATATTATGCAGAACAGCTTCTCTCGTTAGCATCTCAGAGGGAGGAAGTGAAAATGACGGAATTTATTTCCAGTGTGTGACCTTGTTCCGTCCCAGAATTACTTTTAGCTAAAGATTTAGGATTGAGCCACCACCAAAGTCGGTCTGCTGTCTAGCTGGCAATGGACTGCATGCTGAGGTGTCAGCGTGTGAGCGCTTCACAAGTGCCTGGGCCCATCAGCGGGCATCACCACCTGGCAACTGACTGACTTGAAGCTTGCGGTGAGTTCGGAGAAAGGAGTGGAATGGCAAATCTTTTTAGAGCAAGAAATGCTCCTGATGGTAGGACCTTTAAGTAGATCTTTGATTTTGTTCAGGACCTACATGATTAAAAGGGTTGTCTATTCTTTTTTAATTAAAAACTTTTTATTGAGATATAATACACAAACCATAAAATTCACGCTTCTAAAAGTGCAATCCAGCAGTTTCCAGTACGTTCATAGAGTTGTGCAACCATCACTATCACTGAATTCCAGAGCATTTTCATCATCCCATGAGGAAACCCCGTGTCCATCAGCAGTCGTTCCCCATTTCCCCGGCTCCCCCAGCCCCAGGCAACCCTTAATCTGCTTTCTGCCTCTATGGATTTGCTTATTCTGGACATTTCGTATGGACAGAATCATATAATACGTATCCTTTTGTGTCTGGTTTCTTTCACTTAGCATCATTTCTGACCTATTCTTTGTATATCCAGTGAGGTGGGGGATGGAGAAAAAAGGACATGCCAACTTCGGAGGTGCTGTCTCGTGACCAGTCGTCATGAGAGTTTGCCTGGCCTGCTCTGTGTTGGTTGCAGCACTTTGCTTGTTCTTCATGCTGTTTTCAGCTTCTTCCCTCATACGTAGCCAGAAATATCTGAAGTCAAAGAACGAACTTCCCTGCCTGCTCATCGTCCCACGGTAGTCTTCCTTTGAAGACCGAGTTCCCACTCCTGCCACTCGATGACTTCTTAGATCTTCCAACTTCAGCAAACCCTCATCTAAGACTATCCTCATTCTCTGGCTCTGTCCCTTGGCCTTATCTCAACTTACCTGTCTTGTGTTTAGGGTCCTGCTTTCAGCTAGCAGCTCGTTTGAAAAGCAGTCTCACAAACGAATCCATGCCCAGGGATTAATGATGATTTTAGCTTGATGGGTCATTCTAACACAGGTTCCTGTGTTGGGGACTCTTGGAGAGGCAATGTCTCAACTCAGAGGAACACATTTCTTAGAGTGGAAATTGGGGCACTGTGGAAGGCCAGCGAAGATGTTTTGGGGTGACGTAAAGGGAGCCTTTGAGTGTCAATGCTAATACATGAGATTACACTGGGAAGGTAACCACCTATTTCATCTACGTGTAGTTTGTTTCTGTCTTTGTAGCTCCAGCGCTGCTGACAAGAGGAAGGTTCTTGGTCATTTCTCAGATATTTTCAGAGCCCTCACAGTCCACATTCCATATGCCCCTCAGCATGCTAACTGCCCCTAAATGGGTGCTATTCCAGTTCTACTCAATACCTAGTCAATGACAGGAGTTGAGTCCTGAGAACAATGTAGGAAATATTCACCAGTCACTGTAAAAGAAACAGTAACATCTCAAGAGAAATTTTCATGTCACATTGACATTTGTCAAGTCCAAATTACTCAAGGTACCAAGAAGCATCTGCCAGGCTCTTATTGTTTTTTCTTTCTTTCATTTTTAATGAAAGGACAAAATAAATATCTGGAGAATAACAGCATCTTGAAGAATAACAGCATGAGGTTTTTATAAAGAATAAGTCATTTCCAGTTATGCTTAATAAGTTTTCTAATAGATTCATGAAATTAGAAGATGAGAGGGGAGCAAGAGGATATTCATATTTAAATTCTTGCAAAGCACTTGACATGGTGTCTCCTGTTTTTACTTACATAAACTACCCATGTAAGTTTTAGAAAACTGAAAAATGACCCTGAGGCCATAATCAAAGGAAGAGGAAACAGAGCCATTAATTGATGAGAAATAGTTGAGGGACTTGGGGATGTAGAGAATGAAGAAGAGAAAGCTCAGGAACCTATGGTAATCTGTCTTTACACTTGTGAAAGTTTCTCAGGTAAACGAGGGAAGCGGCTTCTGTGCTTCAGATGTTAACATTTGCCACTACTGAATGGATGTTTCATGAAGACAATGTAAGGAAGAATTTTCAACAGAGCATTCCAAAGATGCAGTGGACTGTCTAGAGAGATACGTAAGTTTTCTGTTATTGAAAAGGATCAAACAAAGTAGAGATGATCAACCGTCAGGGATGCAGTGGGCACTACGTTGTACCAGATACCTCCATGGACTCTTTCTATCGCTAAGCTCACAAATCTGTGATATCACTTTTGTGTTACTGAAATATGTGTGTGTGTTTAAAATTTTAACACGAGAAGCAAGTCACTAGGGATACCTAGGCCTAAACTATCTCATATGGAAATAAATCTATCTTAAAAAAAAATCTTCACAGAATGTATTTTTGAGACTCCCTCGGGTTTAATTGCATGATCTTATAAGCTTCCTTCCCTTCTTTATTATTTTATCTCAGTTTCTCATTGGAAGGAAGCACTAAGATGTATATGTGCAGATGACATCTGCAGTAAACAGGCAAAGGGATACTATATACTTAAATAACAAGAAATAATATTGTTGCTCTTGGCATGTTGCTAATAATAATCACATAACTGACTTTTCCTTACCCTCCCCATTCAGCCAATGGTGGATCAGCTTGAGGAAATAAATGATCATCCAACAATGAAAATGAAATTATTTTTGAGGTCAGATGAAAGAAACTCAATTGGGGACAGTCTGGATCGGTAGAGCTGAGAGGAAAAATCTATAGTCTTCTAATCTTTGAAATGTCAAGGGGCATCTGGAATTGTTCAATGTGGCCCAAAATGGAACAAGAGGATGAAAGAGAAGGAAATCTAGAAGGGCATCCAGTAGGAGCAAGCTTTATGTCCTCTCAAAATGTCATCAAACTCTGGGCTGAGAAGTATACATCTGTGGATCTTAAAACAAGTGAAACCGTATAAGACATGTAAGAGGATGCTCAAATATTAACGTGAAGCCAATTTTATAGATAGAAAAGTAGAAAACAGAGTAGTTAAGTTATATAATGAATAACCTGACAGAGAGTGAAGATCTAGAATGTTCTGTATCCCTTTCTGTAACAACTTGTTGACGATATTGCTCTTTCATTCACAGCTTTAAATGCAACTAATAACATAATGACTATATATAGTCTGTGTTTCCAAGGAAACAGATGACTCAACCAAATAAAATGACTAATATGGACTGGAGGGGGGGCAATTAAATTAACTGATTTTAACATCAACCAAAAACTGGTACAAAATGAAGTTTCTGTCTATCTACAGTAGAATTCAATGAACATTATGGTTGTTAAGCTAGCAAAGCCCCTTATATCAACTTATTTCTCCCCAGGAAGTTTAAGCCTGGAAAAGTTACAAAGCAAATATAAAAATTCACCAATTGTATGTGAAAGATGCAATGTGTACAGTATAGGCTACCGATCAGGATAGATACTTTTTTTAAAAAAGTGAATCTAATAAGAGCTATATTAGTTTCTGAGTAAACATGACAGATGATGTTTGCTGTCACAGACTGGGTGGATGGTATCGACTGCAGTCAAATAGGGAGTTACCTGTTAATTAGGTCAAAATGATCATATATATATATATATATATTCAATCAGCTTATTTCTCCGATGGCCAGTCAGAGGAGTGTCGGAGTAGAGAAGGAAGAACTATTTTTTTCTTCTTGAATCTAATGCAGGGAATCTTAACCATGAGTCTATGAAAGGGCTTCATCCACAGGAGGGGGGAAATGTGGGGAGAGGGAAAATATGTGACCCCTGAATTTTTTGTGAATGTTTTTTTCTGGGGAGAAGGCACATAACATACAATAGATTCTCAAAAAAATCTGAGAATTTTAAAAAAGAATGTTAGGGGGCTTCCCTGGTGGCGCAGTGGTTGAGAGTCGGCCTGCCGATGCAGGGGACACGGGTTCGTGCCCCGGTCCGGGAAGATCCCACATGCCGCGGAGCGGCTGGGCCCGTGAGCCGTGGCCGCTGAGCCTGTGCGTCCGGAGCCTGTGCTCCGCAACGGGAGAGGCCACAACAGTGAGAGGCCCGCGTACAGAAAAAAAGAATGTTAGGAAGAATTGCTCTACAGGAAGTCAGCTCAGAAGAGCCAGCTAGGGAGACTCAGGCTAAGTGAGAGCCTGGGTGTGTGAGCTCATGATGTGCACTCGCCTATGCATTTGAAGAGCTGTGACAGTGAGAGAGAGCAGTGTTTTGGAGTAAGAAGGAATAGAGGGATTGGAAAATACTTCACGCCATCAGAAATGAATTTTCCTTTATACTGAGAAAATCACTGCAATTAGGGTCCAAGTTATTCTACTTTAGTCTTCAAATGACTTTGTGTTGAAGGTCATAAGGTACTTTGGACTAAAATTCAAATTTGTGAACTGTTAAGGATCCTTGACGAGGGAGAATCTCCTTGATGAATGACAATTGCTCCACCTTAGGTAAATTTGCATTTAAATTACAACGGAAAGGACTAAATTTAGCTGGGTTTTCTTTTTTGTTTTTATAGATAATCCTATGGTTTCTTCCTCTGAGGAGTTAGCTATATAGGGGCTAGCTATATAGGTTTTATAGGGTTGGCTATATAGGGTCAGCAAGACAAGGTCTCTGTCTACCCGATGGCCAAGATCTGCATGCCTGGAAATATTCAGATGGTGAATGAATTGTTCAGTGCTCCACCCATGTTCGGCATCAGGTGGACAGAACTTCCCTAGGATTTTGAAAACAACATAGAATGTTGTATAAAACATTTGCAAATCCAGGCATACAGCCATCTTGGCCTTCCTTATTGACTTTCCAGTAAGTAGGTGCCCAAAGGGATATAGTGCTTGTAATGACAAATCCCGGTGAGGTATGACGTCCCGAGGTACGTGAACATTTGATTAGGGCAGGGTGCTATGAATTAGTACCTCTCTAGACTCTGTAGATGTGCTTTATCTTTATAAAATCTTAATTTTACAATCTATTTTTTTATCAGTCAAGGGATTTAACAGCTTTGTTCTCTATGACAGCGTTTGCAATTATAATTAAGAAATGTATTAAAACTGGAGTGAATTAATGTGAAAAATGGATGGGGGCTTGGGACTAGAAGATTTCCCCAGCTAGCTATGAAAGACTAACTCAGTCTGAGAAACGGGAGGTAGATTCCAAAGCAAAGCACGAGAATCTGAAAAATTTCGAGGACTGTCCTTATGTATTCAAATTTCCACGTTTGTGTCAACATGAGTATTAAATGAAAATGACCCAAGATTTTGCATGTGCTTTCACTGGTCTTGACTGTGCTCCATACATACAAGTTGTTCCATCATTGTCTCTATCCTCCCAGTCACTACTTTTCAGGTCAATGAGGTGATGAATGAGGCAAGAACCGTTTTGTGGAATAGTTTATAGAGTGGCGCCAAAGTCTTCTGGAACATAGGGAAATTTTCAGCCTAATGCCCTGAAGGCATGTGTCAGGGATAAAGCTGTGATAACCAATGAGAAGAAAGGCTCTACCAGTTTACCCAGGGAAAGGGAAACAGGTCTGTTTATCTCTACTGGGATGAGAGAGGATGTTTTCCTTTTCTAGGACTCCAGGGGACATATATTTGTGTCTTCTATCCTTAGAAAGGGAGAAATAAAGCTGATTAAGCCATGGTCTATTTACTTGCTATCTTTGTGTAACTTCAAAATATGAAATACCAAAAGGTATGAATTCCTTTCAAAAGGTGTCAAAATACTTTGTACTCTCAAGAAAATTCCTAAAACAGAGGGAGAAAGCCTAAAGATGAATGCTTTAATCATTTTTTCCAATGGATTAGAGCTTTTAAGGATAAAAAAGTAATCCTTCCTCAAAATGCCACACAAACACAGACAGCCATTTTCCTTTTGATGAACTGATCACTTCAAAAGACTGGACCTGGAGAACTTAGAAAATTTAGCCTTTTGGATTTGACAACACCTCTACCTGCTAGAATGATTACTAGATATTTCTGGTCAGTCTTCATAGTGGCCAGAACGGGGGTTGAGTGACTTACCTGAGCACTCAGAAGTACTGAGATCCACGTCAGTGACAGGAATGCACCCAGGGAAGGCCACACATACAGCGATGTCAACACTTCCTGGTTCTCCAAAGCAGTGCTCAAAGGTTTCTTCAAGTACGAGTAGCCATGGTGACCTATGTCTGTGCCCCTATTCCTGCATCTTAGCTCAGTACTACAATATGGGCAACTGCATTTTCTGCTCCTTCTGGCAGTGCCTTGTCTCTTCCTGTTTTCTCATTCTTGCTTTTTCCTTATCCACTAAGCAAACACAGAGATTAGAGGAGACTTACCTTAATTCCAAAATACTAACGGAGTTTCCCGAGGGAAATATTCGCCTTACAAAATTGAAGTCACCAACATACACACTACCATCAGGGCCAGAAGCTAAGGCAACGGGAGCAAAGAGTTTGTTGTTGTGGGCGAGGCCATTGCAGTTGGTGCAGGCAACACTCCGTTGGTGTCCATTACCCATTATGGTTGATATGACTGGAGGCTGCTGGGAAATGAACATATTTTCTCCATTCCCTTTATGTATGATTCCTAGATCCAAGGGAAAAAAAAAGAATTAAAAAAATTACCACACAGTATTCTCAGTGATATTTTAATTTCTCATTGTTCAAAGCAGGAAGGAGCGTTGGCCTGCTATAAAAGAACTTGAGAGTGAAGCGCATTGCCCCAGGTTTTATTTAACTGCACAGCTACAACAAATGGCAGCATAACACTTTGCCTCAGTTTGCCCATCTGTGAAATGGAGTAATATACCCAGTCCCTTTAATGTTGATTCTAAATGCCTCAATGAAGCATTTAATGACTAACTTTTAATGATCTCCTGTTCACTTTGGGCTCTGTGAATCATCCGTGGCTGATTTTTCATCTCTGGCTGGCTTTCTTCTGATGCCTGGTGCACACCTGTCTGACTTCAAACCACCCGCACTATGCAACGGGTTCGTGAAAAGGGAGTATCAGTCAATTTTAATATTAACCTTAGTAAAACACAATCAGGAAGGTAATCTACTTCTGTGAAAAGAAAAGAAATCATATTGCTAGAATGCACTTCAAAGATATAAGAAAAGGACTTGATTTTTCCACTCTTTTGGACCATATCTCACTATCATCAGTGCAGGAAATAGAGATACTGACTTAGGAGAATGCTGGAAAATACTCTGCAGTCATTTTCTTTCGGCAATCTCATCCATTCTCACGGCTTTAACTCCCACCTCTCTATGCTGAAACTTTCTCCTGTCTAGTCTAGAGTTTTTACCTGACATGCAATTTCCTAGTAGATCTCTTTACTTGGATGCCTCACAGGTACCTCAAACTCAACAAATTGAAAACTGAACTCGTTATTTTTATTTTATTTTATTTTTCTGCCCTCCCCTACCAAACCCTCCTCCTCCTTCTGTGTTCCCCACTGATCTTCCGAGGTATCACTAGGCGTGTATTTACCCAAGTTGGGAATGTGGGCACCACTGTGGCTCTTCTTTTCCTCACTCTCTAAACCTAATTAATTACTAAACCCCCATTGAGTCTATCTCCTAAAATATGTTGAACCAGTTTCATGGTCTCTGTTTCTACCACGACTGCTTTCGTTCAGTTTGTCTTAAGTTCTGGGTCTCCTGGTCTCCATGCATACCCATCTCCAAACCACTGTCCACACTCCTGCCATAGAGATTATTTCAATCTGTGGCTTAAAACCTTTTAATAGTTCCATACCCTCTGTGGAGTAAGGGGTCCATTTCTTATTATTAAGGAATACAAAGTCCTTCATGATTTGGTGCTTGCCTCTTTCTTCAGCCTTCTGTCTCATTGCCCTCTCATGTGTATCCCGAGCTTCAGCTACAGCAAACTGTTTACAAGTATTTTCACATGCTTCCATCCCTCTCTTTTTAAAAAAATTTATTTATTTATTTATTTATTTATTTATGGCTGTGTCGGGTCTTTGTTGTGGCACGTGGGCTTCTCTCTAGTTGCCGTTCAGCATGTGGGATCTTAGTTCCTCGACCAGGGATTGATCCCACGTCCCCTGCACTGGAAGGTAGATTCTTAACCGCTGGACCACCAGGGAAGTCCTTCCTCTCTGCTTTTGTACTTCACTAGTCCCTCTATCCTGAATGCCTTCCTCATCTTGTTTGTTTGGGAAACTCTTACCTATCCTCCAAAGCTCAGCTCAGTTCTTCCCCAATGCTCTATCCAGCCAGAATTAGTTACTTCCTCCGCTGTATGTGCAGTTTTCCATAGCTCTGTTATAACACTTGACACATGTATGATACTGTTTTCATTACTTCTCTATCTTCCCCATTAGAACACGAGCTCCTTGAAGGCACACCCTCTGTCTTACTCCTTCCTGCGTTTCAGTGCCCATCCCTGTGGCCAAGTTGTTATAAGTGCTCAGTAAATGTTGAAAATAAGCTTTGAGTTTCTTATAGTTTCCTTGTCCAAATTCCAATGATTTTGAAAACCTGCTGAGCCTGGGCAGAAAACCCAAGGAACAAGTACTGCTGTGCTAAATAGCTCAAGTCTGCCCAGAATGAGCCAGGACAGGTAAAAAAAAAACAAAGCCATGTGGTGAGAAGGCATGCCAATGTGTCAGGCTGAAGTAACTGACAGCAAGTGAATGAATGCAGTTATCCTGTCCAGTCTTATTTTTTCTCCCATGACCCCTGCTATCTATCTCCTCGGACCACCTGTTACTCTCCCTAAACATTTCCTGAAATGTCTCCCTCGGTTTTCTTCCAACTTTTAGTCCCACAGTCCTACAACAGAAACTACTGATCACTCTGAAATAGGAACGTTGCTGGCAAAAATAGATAAGAGGGTAAAACACGCACAAAACCATGGCACCAAATATGAACCTAGAAGGGGCCTTCCAGGAAACAGAAATCCCATACTCATATAGCCTTTGGATTTCAAATCTAAAGTAATTTTACTTTCCCTCCCAAGGTGATCTCTGGCTATTTTTTCAACATATGATCTGCAGGACCAGCTATGAGCTTATGCCCCAACAAATTGGTCTGTCATTGTAGAACCATGAGATAGATATCTTGAGGCTCACTACTTTCTTATTTATTTTATTAATAACTTTATTAGGCAGTAAAGAAATTTCTTAAGATTTAGAGTAGTTAATTAAGTTAGATTAATAGGACGGAATTTCATTTCTCAAAAAACACTTAATTGCAATGTGATCAATACTGCAATTTAAATGAATCGGGAGAAAGTGAATGAGAACTGGCATGGCAGTTGCACAACATCATTGAAAAGAAATCTCCTGATGATCACTCACTGAATATCCTACCAATGAGACTATGATATGTTCTTTAATAAATGAGAAAACCAACTGTTTAGCATGTCAGTATTTCAGCAATGCACTACAGGGTATATCATTCAAAAATATTTCCAAGTATGGGCTTGGAAATAGCAGATTTGCTATTAACATCTATTTTCACAGATAGATCTCCATTTTTTTTATATTAATATAATGGTATAGTTAACAATTACCTTCAAAATGACATGTTATTACCAGGCTCCTGGCAATTTAAAAACTAAGATGGCTATTCTAAACCATTCTTCTAAGCCTGCAATTCTAAAACTCCTCTTTTCTATTAGAAAGCCCAGCACTCCATCAAAGAAGAAGAATGATTAAAGGAAATAAAACATAAGGCAATGTACTTTCTGATTACATCTCAACAATTGATGTCTTGCTTTCATGCAAGGTACTAAAGTGCCCGTGTACTGAAATTACCATTCCTGTTTAAAGCTGAAGCAATCAAAACAAAAATGGGCAAACCCCTTTTGTATTGCCCTGGAAAGATAGATCATTTTGAAGGGTGTTTTTGTTGTTTCAAGAATCTGTTTAACCTTCCATTACATAGAACCGGGGCATACCATCTAGCAACAATGATTTAACACCAATTCTTCTGCAAAAGGTTGCTTTGAAAATATTTTGTTTATGTGCCTGGAAATCTTGATCAATTACTGCTGCCTCCTTTCCAAGTTTATTCTGCCACACATGCTCATTTTGAAAACAGAATCAAATGATCCTGAGACTACACACATTATTTATATGAAGGCCAACTTCCTGCTAAGGATTGGGTGTCTTGTTTACAGTCAACAAAGAAACCCCACTGGCTGGAGCCCTACAGCACATTTTAGACCTCCTCCAAGGTTTCCTTTCCTCTGCCAAAAAGTCAAGCCTGTTGTATAGTAAGTTAAGCATACTTTTAAACACACTACTCATACCTTCCTGCTACCTTGCTCAGAACTTCTTTTGAAGCTTATAAATAAGTTTGAAATAAAAATTCCCCTTGGGAGCCAGTGGGTGGTGCTTTATGCTGATTTCAAAGAAGAAACCATTTTTCAGGCTTATGAACAACATGGGACCCAATACATATTTCTCTTAGGACTTGACTGAGAGGATATAAACACAAACTGGGAGATATGCCAACATGATCAATGGAAACTTACTTGTCCTCCCACTAAAACCATTTGCCAACAAACTACTGGCCTATCTTGGAGGCTAAGTTAAAGGAAATTCTTTATCCATTTCAGACGGATGACAATACCCAATTAGAACCCTGGATTGTTTTTTCTAATAATTTTAAACACTCAACTGGCATAATTTTAAAGAACTGATTTATCTTAAAAGAATAAATATGTACTCTCTGTAATCACTAAGAAGATGTATTTTGAAGGAATAATATTGAAAAACACAAGTTCCTAGTTTTCTTTTTTTAATCTCACAGTGAAAGCAGGAACCATCTCCATATATCAGGCATCATATTTGGAAACAATGCTCCACAACCAATGGTTAATTGTCAGGTAAATACAATTGCTGCAACTGAAATGACAAATGGTCTGAAAACACTGCCTACTAGAAACTACCCGCTGCATAATGATTTTGGAGCCAAAGAAAAACTGCAGAATTGAATGGCAGCAGACATCCAATCTAATTACAGGTGTCTTTTTAACCAGCGAGAGGAAATTGGGGGAAGATAGATTCTTGTTTCTAATCTGCTATCTGTCTCAGATCAAAAAAGCGGGGTGCCTAAAGAGTTAGGCTCTGGCCTTAATCACTCAGAAAAGACTGTCTGACCTGAGGGGGAAAGAGCATTGCTTTCTAATTGGTCCTCTCAAAGCTGCTCCTTCACACTTATCATTCCTGTTTCTAAAACTGCATTTATGGGTGGGATTTAGATTCTGAAAATGTCCCAAGAGAGGTGTTCGTGTCCAAGGGCAGGCTGAAAGGCACTGGCAGAGCTGCCTTCAGATCTGTTTCCTGGCAAGTGTGACCAGTTCTTGGTGAGAAATACAATGTGCCTACAAATGAGATGATAAAATGAACAAATCTTCCTTTTAAAAAATCTATCTTAAGTAAGGTTTCTTTCTCAGAATAAAATTCTCAGAAAGAGACAGAAAGTAGATCTAGTGGGGTTGGGGTGAGTACAAGGGATCTTTTGGGGTGATAAAAACATTCTAAAACTCTGTGGTGGTGATGGTTGCACAACTCTACCATTTACTAAAAAGCATTGAAGTGTACACTTAAAATGGGTAAATTTTGTGGTGTATAAGTTATACTTCAGTAAGGCTGTTAAAAAGATTCCCAGAAATAACTTGGTACCTATTACCTAAAAACCAATTACTGGTGAATTAGGGGTGAAAAGGACACATCTGTGGAAACCAGGGGGGTCCCTAAAGCCAACTTTCTGAATGGCTCCCCTCTGTTCTGAATTTTTAAACCTGGGTGAAGCAAACGGTAAGAGAATATAGGACTGGGAGCACACAGCTGGGGGCTGGATTGAGGTCATTTCCACTTTGTGTTTAATGTCAATGACAGGCATTTGAAAGAGACAATCCATACAAGCCAATAAAAGTGAGTGGAAAAGAAACGGCTGCTTAAAATGTCAAACTCTTTCAAATCAAAACAAAAAACCTAATAATTTAATAAGTGGCATCTGCCCTTTCGTTTTTATACTTTTAAAACTGCGATTCTCCTTTTGACAACAGAAAAAAAGTTGACATTTTATATCCGTGCCTGAATCTTTGCTCTTAAAAAAACAAACGGTTGGAAGTGGAATTTAGGATCTTCCTTGAATGGGGGGAAGAAGGTATAACAAGGGCATATAGCAATGGACTCCATCTTCAGGGCCCACACTGGGACTCTGGTAGGTGGTCTGATTCTGTGGTTGAAGCAAACCTGCTTAGCTTTGCCGATCAAAGTTTCCCAGCCTGTGCGGCTGGTTGGATTGGCTGATTTAACTACGGTGCAAATGAATAAGACCATAGGTGTGATTATAAAATGGATCTCTTAGCCTTGGTCAGTTCATGGCCTTACAAGATAACCCGGCCTTAGCCAGCTATTTCACAAAGGTAAGAGGGATACAAGGGCAGCTGGATGGAAGGGTGTAGCTGCCTCATATATACATTCATTTCCCCAGTCCTGGAGAAATAACCCAAAGTACACATTCTACTAAAGGCTGGTCAGAATCTGCCTCTTCAGGTGAAAAGGAATATGATTTCACAGTGAAAACTTACCAGTAGATGTTCAAATGACGCTGGATGGAAACACCAACGATTGGTTTCCCAGCAAAAGGAGGTGAAGTGACTTGGATGAAGCATTTATAACCAGGGTAGCAAAATCAGTTTGTCTGAGAGAAGCATGGACTTAAGGGCCACCTGTGGTCTCCTCTCCTGATTTATTTAACATTTAAATTACAAACTAGGAGAGAGCGACAGCAGGAAAAGTGGTACGAAGAAGGCAAAGGTTGAAGATCAGAGTGTCCTGATTCTCACTGCTTTTCCCTCTTTCCTAAGTCCAGGACTTAGGAGGCTTAAAACTAAGTGAAGTCCAGGGCTGTAGTCTTTTCCCAGATTCTTTCTCTTCTTCCCCTGCGTTCCTCTTACCTCTTTTTCTCTGTTACCCATTACTGTCCCTTTACTCTACCCCTAGCTTCTTACTGCATATACTGACATTTATGTGGATAAAAAACTGGCGTAGAGAAAGAGCACATGGACAGCTCTTGGCCACTTACTGTGAGCCCTAGGGGAAAGTAACGTGACTCAGCTCCGGAGTCTTGATTTTTAAATGGGGTTAAGGCCACACTGCAGGGTTGTTGTGTTTAAAATGGGACAGAGTTCACTAAAACTCTTTGAAAACTGTATCACTTAGATCATTCATTAATTCTAAGATGCACATTTTGCTTCCTATTTTCACATCTCTGGAATAAGTATGTATCTTGCAATCAATGTGTGTCACTGTTTAATTGACACCGTTTTCCATAAAATAATGGTGTACTTATAATCGATGGTGTCTTGGATCATATGAAATACGGCAAATATTATTCCAATTTTTAGAAGTTGGTTACAATGTCAGATAAACTGGTTAATCACCTGGGATAGTGCAGTAATGACAGATGATTTTTAAAAAATAAATTTATTTATTTAATTTATTTTTGGCTGCACTGGGTCTTTGTTGCTGCGTGCGGGCTTTCTCTAATTGCGGCGAGCGGGGGCTACGCTTCATTGCGGTGCGCGGTCTTCTCATTGCGGTGGCTCCTCTTGTTGCAGAGCATGGGCTCTAGGCGCGCGGGCTTCAGTAGTTGTGGCTCGCGGGCTCTAGAGCGCAGTCTCAGTAGTTGTGGTGCACAGGCTTAGCTGCTCCGTGGCTTGTGGGATCTTCCTGGACCAGGGCTCGAACCCACGTCACGTGCACTGGCAGACGGATTCTTAACCACTGCGCCACCAGGGAAGCCCCGACAGATGATTCTTAAAACCCAGTTTCATATTACTTTGTGAAGAGGTCTCACTCTACTAGCACTAATTTGAAATCAGATCCATTTGAAAAGAAATATAATGTGGTCATCTCTAGGTGGTGGACTTATAAGTACTTTTTCCCTTGTACTTTTCCAAATTTTCTGCAATAAGTATTACATATATATGTATATAGCATTAGGAAAATAGTATTAATAAATGTCAAAAAATGTGCTTACCACTTTGAGGATTCAAAATATGATGCTTATTCAATGACCAGCCTCCTAGGTTAGAAGCATCCATCTCGAAACCTTGTAAGATAACAGTCCTTTTTTCCCAGAGAATAAAGTCGGGGCACATTTCATATTCATATCCCACAGACACTGCAAACAAAGAGTTAATAACACATTAGAACATGTAAAAAGATTTGCTTCATTTTTGCACTGGTTGGTAAGCCTCTGGCTAACACATCTGCTATTGAATTCTGATTTGGGTTGAAATTTGATCACAAATACTTTTCACCTAGCATAGCATCGGGCATCCAAAAGTGACCAGTCAGTGCATATTGGATAAATATATGAATGAGTGACTCACTGAGGCTGTCGTTAGGTATGCACCATATGTTTTGGACATCAAGCTTTAGTATGGGCTTTTGGGTAAAAGGCTGCGTTGTAAAACTGAAGAAATAAGCTCCCTGAAGGCTTAAGCTGTGGTGATACAATTTCTTTCTTTACCTTTGTAGTAGAAGTGCAGGGAAAGTTGTTTTCTGATCTCTTTGGAGTGCAAAATGCACTTAGGAAGCTGGCTTTGGAGTACTGGGTCACTTATACAACAACTGACTACACATGAGACTAATAAAAATCGATTCACCCATTTATATTTTCTCCCATGCTAACTGGCCTTTAGTTTGCCAAGAAGTCTGAGTTTGCTTAGAGTGCTACAAGCACCGTGAGTGTAAATTCCACTTTGTGCATGTTAGACTTTGGTTTCTAACCAACGGGACATCACCCAACATTTGGCTCCAACCCTTATGAAGCACGGATGTCGTGCATTAAACTGGGAACCCCAGTATGGCGCTAAAATGGGAAGTGCAGAATGTGATAACTTGGGTGCCTCTGCTCTACTGAAATATGGAGAACTCAAGTATACCAAGTCCCAACCATTTTCTCAGTTGGTAAATCTGCTTACCTGTTGGAACCCCAGAGTTCTGATTCTTGAATTCAAAATGCTTTGTGTCCTCATAATGTTCTAAGCCTGAGAGTCTTGGCTCATTACACTGCATAGCCCAAAGCTAGCTGCTTTTCCCCCTTTCTGGCAGCTTAAAATATCCCTAGCTGGTCGTGTGCTATTGCTTTCGAGTACCTGCCTCTACCTGACTCTTCAGATGCCCCTGGAGAACTCATTTCTTTCTTTGTCATCTGGTTATTAAAACTGGTAATGAAAATGTGTGCTTAAACAATGCCAGTGCAATAGGTCCTAAGAGGAAAAATTCAAGCAGACTAGTTTTGGATTTGGGCATTAGGTGAAGAGAAAAGATGGTAATTTTAGTCCAACTGATTTAGGTGTGCACGTGCATGTGTGTGTGCAAGCACATGCACAGATAAGCCAAAAAGTCCTTATGATTGTTACCTTTGGGGGGTCATCTGTGGCCAACTTTAAACCACAGGCTGACTTCTCTTTGTCCCCCCTCCATCAAAGCTTTAAAAGGGACCAGGACCATCTTCACGCTTAGAAGGGCCCCATACTTGGTTTAATGTTCTCCTGTCACTGTCTTGAAATCCTTAATACTTTTTTAACAAGAGGCTGGGTATTTTCATTTAACACTGGGCCCTGCAAATTACGTAGCCGGTCCTGATGGGGATGCCCTTCTACCCTGCCATCAGCTGGTGAAGACTCTTGGAATGCAAACTCATTTTAGTATTAGCCCTAACCAAGCACTATTAGCAAGGGAGATCAATAGGAAGCAGGAAAGACTAATCATACAGTGGAAATGATTTCTAAAGGGAAATTAGTTTGGGATCATCTGGTTCAATGCTGTTCTCTATTAAGATGGATAGAAACACAGAATTTCAGTGGTGAAGAGGATCTCAAAGGTAATCTAGTTCAGGTTACACGTGTGGCACAAATCATTGCTGTCTACAATCTCCTTGATATCTTATCACGTCCCCAGTGCTTTGCTAAAACAACTCTGGTATAGTGGAAATAACTGGTTTCAGACCTAGAGTCAGAAGAGACTTCAGTTCTTGGGTCTGCCATTAACTAGCTGTGCGGTTGCAGGCATATTATTCCCCATCTCCGGGAGTCTGTTCTTCATTGTAACAAAGGAGGAGGGGAGAGGATGGACTAGAATTGGTGGTTCTTAGACCCTTTTGGGTCAGGGAACCTTTTGTTATGAATGTGATAAAAGTTATGGATCTTCCTCCTAGAAAAACGCATATGCACGCAAAATTTTATATATAATTCTAGGGGGTTCACGGATCTCCTGAAGTCTAAATAAAGATCTCAGATCAAAGACTGCTGTACTAGATAATTCTTACAGTCCCCCTTTAGCATTTCACTCTATGATTCTAAAGTACATTCTTTCAAGACTGCATTTGATCAGTTCAAGTTGGGAAATCAAACCCAAAAGCCAAAGAGAGCACTGTATCTCATGTTGGAAAAATCAGGGGGTGAGAAAGCACACTTAGGGCCATGTTGGTGTGAAGAATAACACAGTTTCTGCTTCTCTTGCCAACACTTAAAAGTCTTGATTAATAAATAATCACAACGATAATGATTACAAGTTCCCTTAAAGCCACATCTCCTTCCCTGCTATTGTCAGGATCTGCCTCTTATACATTTGAAGCCTGATGTGCTCCCCTAGGATCTCTTCTTCGGAAGTTGATTGTGCAGCTTTGCAAGTTAAGTAGTGTGCCCTGGTGACCTCCGATGGTGGTTTGGAGCCTGCTTTTTCCCTCTCAGGAGCAAAGATCCTCCCAACTCTGTGGCAGGAAATGCTTATATAAAGTATCCTCAGTGCAATGGTAATGAGACATCCTCTTCACCTCCTCATGTCTGAATTGCTCTCTAGCCCACAACAAAAAAGTGCACTGGCTGCAAACCCCACAATTATATTATTTTTTCCCCTAGTCATAGCAAATAGCAACAAGGCGGCCACTTAATAAGTTCCCTCTAATTTTTATTAGATTTACTTTCTCTTGAGAAAACTCTATGAGCTAATCATGTTATGATTTATACTTAAGACTTGTCCAAAATTCCAACTGACTTTAATGAGAATGGCTGTGTGTGGCTCCTTGCTCAGAGTAACAAGACAAGGTTTCTTTCTGACAGCAGCCGCTTTAACAGAATCCTGGAACTTGCAGTTGATGTATGAGAAGGCAGACGTTTCACCCCACGGAGTTGAGCTGCTCTCCAAATGCACAAGGAACTGGCAAATACAGTAGCAACCAATCCTAGACTTCCTCTCACGGGAGCAGACTGTTCAACGCACTGAACGCCTACTCTTTTTCATATAATTAAATATGGGGGAAAAAAGGGCTACTCAGGGGCTGGCACTGAAAAGGCTGAGCCCCGACATTACACTCTGCCTGGTACTGTGACAGCTGAGTCTCAGTTAACTAAGCAGAGCGGACCCACTACCACTTCCCAGGTGGCCTGGTGCCTATCACATCTGATCATCAACACAGCATGGTGTAGGCAAAGGATTCAGCCTCCAGCATTCTGGAGTGGGGCCTGGGAAGAACAGTGTAATAGGAAGGAAAGAATAATTATTCATCAACATTTCAGAGGCGCTATGGAGGACAGACCAGTCTGGCAGTGAGTGGAGATAGGTGGGGAAGGAGGGGGTCCCGGGCTATACTTCCTAGGGGCTGGTGTAGTGGTCCCATGCTGGTGTGTACATATTGGGAAGGCAGCTGAGAAAGAGCCGTTAATATGGCAGAATAATTTCTCAGAACCATGTGACTGCCTCTCTTGTGACACCCTTAATTCCGTCTGGATTTCTGTCTTCCCATATTCTCTCCCTCACCTTGACACAGAGATATTAATGGGATGTTCCTTAACCAAGAGTCACTGATTGTCAAGATAGCCTTGCTACTTTTGTAGAGGATGCCGTCCTCTGGTCACAGGATTTGCACCTGACTTCGCTGTTAGTCATCTTGCAACAACACTGGCTTATAAAGAAGACTTTATTCTACTGGCTTATAAAGAAAGACTGCAGCTTGCTCCCCCAAAGCCATTTGACATTAGAAAAATAGTAACTGAATTACACTCTACTTATCAGAGCAGCAGCATTAGTGTGATGCGGGGACTGCAAGAAGGTGGAGGGCCACAGCGCTCCTGACACCCGATTCAGTGACTGTGACATTCACCTATAAGGGCTGCGATAGGAGACTGACATTAAATAGCCAAGGTAAAGATGCCATGCAATGAAGCTGATGTGCAAAGTGTGACAAGACTAAGCAGATGATTTTCAACAGCTTCCGAGTTCGTAGCGGTTGCATTCACGAAGGCCACATATAATTAAAAGGTAAGTAACAACAGGACCGAAACGTTCTTACTGAAAAGAAATCATTAAATAGAACAAGAAATATTTCCCATTCTTTTAAAATAGTAGATTAATAGAAAACAACAACAATAAAAGACGAGAGGCCTAACAAACCAAATGAAGGCCACGGCCACAATAGACAAAAACTACAGATAAAATGCTATCTACTGAGAACGGGTACCTGCTCCCAGAATGACTTCTACTTTCTCCTATTCTCTAGTGATTTCTCATAGGATAGGATAACCCCAGAGACTCCTCAATTTGACACAGTGCCCAGTGGCCTGAAATGCTTTGTTTATCTATTATTCCTGGCTTACTAAGAGTGTCAGAATCAGGTGATGAATTTTTACCAAGTGCCTTTTCAGTACTTACGGAGATATTCACATAGTTTTCTCCTTTAATCTGTTGAGGTGGTAAATTCTAGCAATACACTTCCTAACGCTGAACCATCTTTGAGGTCCTAAAATACACTCTACGGTACTTGGTTATGATGTATTATTTTTTTAATGAGTCACTGGATTTGATTTGGTAATATTTTACTTAGGATCTGCACCTTACCAGTTTACAAAAATAACCCTACCAGTTTAAACATCATAGTGCTAAAAGCGACACAGTAGTTGAATGAAGAGAAAATACAGGTAGAAAAGGTAAAAAGCATCCAGGAGTGAGGTAGCCACACAGAGTTTTGGCCAAGAGGTCCTGTACACTGACAACTTATCTTATGAATTTTTTTTTTCGGGCTGCTTTGTCCGAGCCTAGCTGCATAAAAGCGAACCCAGAACCCAGATGACCTGTGTACCACAGAAGGCAGGGTGAACAAATTCACGATATTTAACG